CCACCTCCTTTAGCAACTAATCAACAACAATTCCCATCACAACCACCTCCTTTAGCAACAAACCAACAACAATTTCAAACTCAACCTCCAATGATGCATAGTGGAATGAGTATGAATCTTTTAATAATATCTTCATCACACATACATATATATATATATATATATATATATTTTTTTTTTTAGATCAACCTCCAGTACAACAACCTTATCCAAATCAAGGACCGCCAACAACATCTACCCAAATTCGACCTGCACCTGCTATACCTAATCAATTTGGTCCACCTCCAACATATCCTACTCCTCAATTTCCGCAACAACAGCAACAACAACAACAACAACAGCCTCCTTTTCCTAATCAATCATCATCAGGTATTGGTGGAATGCCACAATATTCTAGTGGTCAACCACCTTACAATGCTCCTCCATCTTCATTTCCTCCGGGTAGTCAACAACCACCACCACCACTAACATCAACTAATTATCCTCAACAACCATCATTAGCTCATTATCCTAATCAACCAAATTTATCTGGTCCACCAACAATGCCAGGTAGTCAATTAAATGGATATCCTGGTCAACCACCATCAAGTGGACCAGTACAACAACCATATCAATCACAACGTATTGATCCTGATATGGTACCTAATGTAGTACGTATAATTGTTCTTGATATAATATCTATAATTATAAAATTTCCTTCTCCTCCCCTCCCACTTAGGTTCAAGTTCTTGAACAAAGTCAAGAAAAAATTCAAGAACCATTTATAACTAATGCACCAGGTTTATTACCACCATTAGCAGCAACTGATTTTGTTTGCCAAGATCAAGGTAGTTGTAATCCACGTTTTATACGTTCAACAACATATGCTATACCAAATGCAACTGATATGATTAAACAATCTCATATACCAGTTGCTCTTTCTATTAGTCCATTAGCAGATTTACGATCGGATGAAGTAATTTCGATTTTTTATTAATTCTTAAAAAAAGAAAAACGAATTTTCTTTTAGCTTGAACCACCAATTACTAATTTCGGTGAAATCGGTCCAATACGATGTCATCGTTGTAAAGCATATATGTGTTCATTTATGCAATTTATTGATGGTGGTAAACGTTTTATTTGTTGTTTTTGTGAAGCTGCAACTGATGGTTAGATAAACGATGTGTTTTTTTTTTTTTTTGTTATTTTCAATTTGTGATATATATTATAGTACCTACTGAATATTTTAATCATCTTGATCATAGTGGTCGTCGTATGGATTGGTATCAACGACCAGAACTTTGTCTTGGTTCATACGAAATTTTAGCGACAAAACAATATTGTAAAGTATGTTAATAATTTTATAAAATCTTATCTTTTGTCAGTTAACTGAAAAATGAATTTTCTTTTGTAGGATGAAAAATGGCCTGAACCACCAGCATTTATATTTATGATTGATGTATCATATAATAGTGTTCGTAGTGGTCTTGCTGAATATATTTGTCATATATTAAAAACTGAACTTCTTAATTATTTACCAAAGTTTGTTAATTAATATTCTTTTGTTTTTTGATTGTCGAAAATATTTTTTATAGAGATAAAAATTCTGAAACATCTAATATACGTGTTGGTTTTGCAACATTTGATAAACAAATACATTTTTATAATATTAAAGTAAGATAATACAAACAAAAAAAAAATTTTTTTATATGTAAAAGTCTTCTTTGATTAAATATCTTTCTTCTAGGGGGCAAGTAGAATCTGTTTTGAAATAATAATAAAAAAAACTGCATGTCTTTATCTATTAACGTTATTTAATGCTTTGCGTACTTCTAATAAATGTTTTTGCATGTAAAATATTGTTTAGTTAGATGAGATAAACTTCTGTTGTTCGTTTTTTTTTTCTATTTTAATCAAAAATCTAAAATATTATTTTATTTTATTAGAATACACTTGGACAACCACAAATGATGATTGTCTCTGATCTTGAAGATATATTTGTACCATTACTTGATGGTTTTCTTGCTTCACCACAAGATTCACGTGGAGTTATTAATAGGTAAAAACAAAAAAAAAATTTACAAGACAAATTATGAGATTCTCGAGTATACGAAGCATTTGATAAGAACGACTTTTTTTTTTCCTTATACATTCAACATCCGTTCTTTCAAAAGTTAATCAATACCGATTTTTTACAACTGTCATATTCTTAAAATGTCCATTTGATAACAATCTATCTCTTATGGGAAATCAGAATGAAGAGTTGCAAGCTAAATTTTCTATATTTTCAGTAGCTTTTTATTCTCTAAAGAAAATGGTACGAAACGATATATAGGCAAAATCAAGCAGAACAGAATATTTGCACCTTTCATTTAAAGTTTATTCACTGTAATAGTGAATTTTTTGGACAAAATTCTTTTGGTATAGGTTTATATGAAAATGTTTGGTCTTTTATATGGTTAATAATTAATTAAAAAATAATTAGCGAATATCTCGCTAACTATATGAGTAAAACAAATCTGAAAACTTCAGAATATGATCTAGAGCACAAGGTGCATCTATGATAAATTGGACTTCAAAAATTTTCTTCCGAACAATCGGTTTTCTAGAGACTTTGAGTAATGATTTGTAACATTTAAAGTCGATTTTGAACTTTTCAGTTGATTACAGGAATATCATCTCGATTGTGTAGTTGTACTGCATCACGTTGCTAACAACAAATCGGTTTTTGTTGAAAAATCTAGACATGCTCAGAAAAAATTTTGCATATAAATTTTATAGCCTTAGAAGCCATCTACGGAATGTCCTATTTAGTTTTCTAAAATTGTGCATGAATTGAGAGTTTTTAAAAACTAAAATACACGAAGTGAAAATCGATGTCCCTTTTTTGTGTCACGTGGCTAAGAAATGAATTTGTCCATATGTCTGGTAGTTTTCATATTTTAAAGCAAAATAAATGTGACATTCGAAATTACCGTCAAAAACTTCATTGAATCAAATAGATTTTAGATATTTTTTTCTGTGAAAAACTGACCACAGAGCGAAATTTTAATAAAAATACAGTCGTAGGGGACTACAGGTAAATTTTTCGTAGGAAAAAAAATTTCTCTAAAATTTATTTGATTCAATGTGTTTTTTTATGCTAATTCCGAATATCGCATTGATTGTGCTTTACAATATGGAAATCGCTAAATATATATCATTTCGTATCGGATGTACCATTTATTTTAGAGAATAAAAAGCTGTTTAAAATATATATAAAATTCAGCTTGGAATTCTTTACAAGATAAATTAATAATTTATAATAAAATTTCAATGATTCCCTGAAACGAAAACGAGCACAACTTTTACAAGCGATTTTTTACTGTTTATTTCCATAAAGATATGATACTAGTAAAAAGTCGGTATTGACCAATTTTGGAAGGAAACCGGCCGGAATTTCATCCTAGGCTTAAATTGACTTCATTAACCCCGATAAACAGCCTTATTTGATTAGTTGTTACATTCTGTAGTACTTGGCAACAGAGATGTCCGTGACGGCGCTGCCGCTATGAACATCTCTATTGCCAAGTACTACGGAATGTAACAACTAATCCCTAGCCAACTCTCTCTAACGAAATCACCGGGGAGTTCCCTGAAAAATGGGGAATCCTTGTCATGAGTCCCAGGGGAAGTTGCATATCTCAGGATCCTCCGAGAGTTGCTCTAAAGTTTCCAGAGAATTCCAATAGTGGCTTCTGGAGAGATCCTGATAATACTCATCAATTCCCTGAGGAGTCTCTGAATCCCATCTTAACTCCTCCAGGGACTCATGACTAGGGATTAAATAAGGCTGCTCATAGGGATTAATGAAGTCAATTTAAGTCCGGGCAGAAATTCCTATAATTCTGAAAAGAAAGGATATTGAACGATAAAATTTTGGGTTTCAGATATCAATGCACAAAAAGATCTTTTTCTTATCGAATCTTTTGTATACTTTCATGAATTCTCTCTTAAATTAAAAAGAAAAAATAAATCTTTTTTTTGTTGTTGTTATTGCTGAAATTAAAGTTTACTTGATCAAATTCCACAAACATTTGCAAATACACAAGAAACAGAAACAATTTTAGCACCGGTTATTCAATCCGGTATTCAAGCATTAAAAGTAGATATTTTGTTTTTTTTTTTTTTTTTGGAATTTTTCTATATAAAAAACAAAATATCATAGGAAGCACACTGTGCAGGTAAAATTTATATTTTTTCAACAACATTACCAATATCTGTTGCACCGGGAAAATTATCAAATCGTGATGATAAAAAATTACTTGGAACTGAAAAAGAAAAAGTTTGTTTTTAATTTAAAAAATATTCTTTTTTTTTGTATTAAATTTATAAAATAATTTAGACATTACTTGCACCAGTTAATAATGTTTATACAAAAATTGGTGAAGAATGTGCACAAAATGGTTGTGCTGTTGATCTATTTGTTTTTCCAAATAATTATCTTGATTTAGCAACTATTGGTGAAGTTTGTCGTGTATCTGGTGGACAGATTTATAAATTTAATTATTTTTCAGTAAGATTTTTCTTTTCTTTTTTTTATAAGAATTATTCAATGATAAATTATAGATTGAAAATGATGGTGAAAGATTATTAGATGAATTAAAAAGAAATTTTCAACGAACAACAGCTTTTGATGCATTAATGCGTGTACGAACAAGTACAGGTAAGTCTTTTATTTTTACATGTATATTAGATGGAAAAATTTTGGATCTAAATCATGTATCTATTCGGTTTTTTTTATTAAAATTTCTCTAATCATTCAATTCTCAGATCGGATATTCGATTTTTAAGATTGTTATCAACTATGTAAAGAACATTTCAGTGACAATAATCATCGTCTTGAATTTATTTCTAGATTTGATCTTCAATAGATTCATTTCTATATTTCGATTCTAATCGATTATTTTCTTTTTCTATTAAGGTATTCGACCAATTGATTTTCTTGGTAATTTCTATATGACAAATGCTACTGAAATGATATTTGGTACTATTGATTCGGATAAATCAGTTTGTGTTGAATTAAAACATGATGATAAATTACCTGTTGAAAGCAATACTTATATTCAAGTAAATTATAATTTTTGAAATTTTTATCAATATATATATATATATATATTTCATATAGGCTGCTTTACTTTATACAAGTATATCAGGTCAACGTCGTTTACGTATATTAACATTAGCTTTAACAGTTACTTCATCATATACATCACTTTATCCAGCTTGTGATCTTGATGTAATTATGAATTATGTAACAAAAGTGGGTTAGTAGAAAGAAAATATAAATTTTTATAAGTAAAAGTGACCATAAGGGTTTTACTACAGAACGGAACATATATGTTAACTTCTAGAAAAAAGACTTCCTTAAGCAGTATTTTCAATATTAAGTACCCCGAGGTACCTACGATTTTGAAAAAGTACTGTATTTTGTACCTTGCTGGAAAAAAAGCGCTACCTCGATGGTACTCTGTAAAATAAAAAAGCTCGTATATTTAGATTTCATTCATGATTCTCGATTATTTTGAAAAGTGAAAGGGGCTAAAATTTCCCATAAAGTACCTTATCTGACTTTCTGTCAGAATTTATCATGTGAAGTTTTCAAAAATTTGGTAGAATATGTTAGAAAATTTCTCAGAAAGTCGAACATATAGTTTCGATTTGTGGTGAGGTCAGATCCCAGCCCATCCATAATCGGAGAGCATGATCTCATTTCATATGTGTGTATTCAATTAACTGGTACTTTGATATTCAAAACAAAGTACCAACGAATACTTTGTCAATGAAAGCGAATGTCCAAATATACTTTGTTTCAGATTTCTATTGGAAACATTGTCCTTAAGTTCTACTGCATACTGTTAATCTGTCAATACACAGTAGAACTTAAGGAAGTCTTTCTCTACAACTCAACATATATTCCATTCTATAGTCAAATCCTTATAATGTGTTAGGTTCTGCTGCGCATCGTTAATATGTCAATAGATGGTACCATCTACGGACATGTTCACGGTATGCAGTAAAATTTGATTCTGTATACATTTAATAGATAAAGTCTTTATCCAAAAGCCTAGATATATTCCATTCTATATAATCAAAAAACTTATAGTCATCTTTAATAATGAATTATTTTTTTTTTATGGTGTATTTTTAAATTTTAGCTCTACGTTCAATAACAGTGTCAACTCCGAAGAGTATACGTGATAGTATAATAACACAAGCAGCAAATATGTTAGCATGTTATAGAAAAAATTGTGCACAATCAACAACAGCTGGACAATTAATTTTACCAGAAACATTAAAATTATTACCAGTTTATGCTACATCATTAATTAAATGTGATGCTTTAACTGGAAGTATGTTTTTTAATTTTTAGTTTTATTTTTTTATTGAAATAAAAATTTTATATTGATTTGAAATTTAAGCTCAAACAGTAACAACAGATGATCGAAGTTTGTTAATGCATCGATTAATGTCTACGGGTGTTAAAGGAACATTTGCATATCTTTATCCCAGAGTTTATGCTTTGGTTTGTACATATAGAATTATTTTATGTAAAATTTAATTTCTTTTTTTTTTCTCGTGTTTAGCATAATTTGGAAGAAGATAATATACCACCACCAATGATTCGATGTTCATACGATCGTCTCTCGGAAACAGGAGCTTATGTTATTGGTATGAACACTCATAAAAAAAAAAGAAAATTGATTATGTTAGATTTTTTATACTACAACAGAGTCCACGCTATATAAAGTGATGGAAAAAAGTTTAGAAACAATGTTTTTTTTTCATAATTTTAAGCACATAGCTCCAATCCAAATAGTGATTTTAATAGCCAATGAAGTTTTCTATTCAATACACTTTATAGAAAGATTTCACAGATGAAATAATGATGGCAAGGCTCCTAAAAAACCGAACATGGTATTTTTCAGGTTCTAGAAGACTTTACCAGAACTATTTTTGAACGGTGCCATCTTAAAGAGAACAAAATAAGGGGTCACTGAGTTTTCTACGACCTTCTCATAAAAAGTTACAAGCATCACAAAAATCATGAAAAAGCGAAATTTTTTTTTAAAAACGCCTTTTTCATGATTTTTGTGATGCTGGTAACTTTTTACAAGAAGTCCATAGAAAACTCGGCGATCGTTCATTTTGCTCAGAATTTTGCGCTCTTTAAGTTAGCACCGTTAAAAATAGTTCTGGTAAAGTCTTCTAGAACCTGAAAAATATCATGTTCGGTTTTTTAGGAGCCTTGCCATCATAGTTCATCTGTGAAATCTTGCTATAAAGGGTATTAGATAGAAAACTTCATTGGCTATTAAAATCACTATTTGAATTGGTGCTACGTGCTTAACAATGTACTTAATCGTTTAATTCAATAGGACTAGAAATAATAACTAGCTTTATGAATTTTGAAAAAAATGTCTACTTTTCAATTAAAAATTCATTATAATCAATTTCTATATAATCGTTATTTTTTTAGAAAATGGTTTTGTAATGTATATTTGGCTTGGTAGTCAAATCAATCCTACATTTACACAATCATTATTTGGTATTCAAACATCACATATTCAACCAGAAAAAGTATTCATATTAAATAAATTCTTTATTTAAATATTTTTATTTTTTTGTCGTTTGTTATCTTAGTGTCGTATTGCTGATCTTGATAATCCAATATCAAAAAATGTTCGAACATTATTAAATTTAATTCGTAATGAACGAGATAGTTATATGAAAGTAATGAGCAAAAATTTTCATCGTAACTAATTAATTATTATTTATTTATTTTGTTAAGCTTTTTGTTATTCAACAACGTGATTCAATTGAACCATTTTTCAAAAATTATCTTATCGAAGATAAAGGTTTTACAGGTGGTGCATCATATGTTGATTTTCTCTATCATTTACATCGTGAAATTCGAAATATTCTTCAATAGAAAACACAAAAAAAATGATTCGTTGTTTGTTTTTCATCATTGGATTTCCAATTGATACATATAGATATTAATATATGTGTGTGTGTGTGTGTGTGTGTTTGTTTGTTTTTCTTTTTCGTTATTCATTTTTATCATCTCTATTATGTATGCAGTCAAACAGAGTGTCTTTTGTCTTTTCTTTTTCTTTTCTTTTTTTGTGCTGAAATTACGAGCATTCTTATTCTCATTGTTATGTTCTTTTTTTTTTCTTCTTAGCTCGTTTAACTAAAACCTTATTTATTTATCTCAATAAAAAAGAAGGAAGATGTTTGGCTTTTTTTTCTTAATTGTATGTGTGTAGATTTTTGTTTTTAGATCATGCCACGTGGTCAGAATGCAGCACCAACTGTTGAACAAATTAATAAAGATCGAATAACACTTGTATGTGAAAGAATAAAAAAAAAAATGAAAATGATTATTTATTTCTTTTAAGCTTTCGGAACAATATTGGGCATCATATGCATTACAAAGACGTGCATATGATCGATTAGTTGTTGATGAAATTTATATTAAAGAATTATTGGGTACTAAGTAAGAATAAAACAAAACAAAAAAAAGATTATTATTTTATTGTTTTTTTTTTCCTTTGTTAGTTTTAATCTTCGTCGAATTATTCTATTGGAATTTAGTCAATATTTAGAAAATTTTCTTTGGCCAAATTTAAATCCAGATCAAGTAAAATTTGATTCA